TACTACAATTACCAATACAGAGACAATCAAAATTTAATATTACTTTTTAATAATATTTATTATATTCATAATAATAAATTTATTTACGACTTTAACATTATATTTTAAAACAAGGAAAAATTATAAATCACTAAATGCAAATATTTCACTGAAAAATTACATAAAAAATGAAACTTGCACAGAATCAATAGAAAGCAAAACAGACGAAACACAGGTATAAAAGGATGAAACAGGAATGTTATCTTATATTTTTTTTATCATTATAAAATTCTCTTGATATCTTTATTAAGTATAAAAAAAAATTTAATGGAATGGACAAAATTGTAAATGAAATACTCCAAGTGGGTACCTCGAAAGAGGGTAATCCCACCACCGATTCTGATCGGGTGCAAGCCCCGATAGTCGGTGCAGATGGCTCCAAAGATTTTGGAGGGAGCCAGATAGATAGCCAGGTGACGTGCTACAAATTAAATGTTGCAAATCAGTTCCTGGCTATTCCGGGAATTTTTAAAAGCTTGCGCCAAGGATTCAAGCGGCAAAAAAACGTCAGTCGTGAGATCCAGGATGGCGTGACGGTTTTAGAAAGTGCGTTCGATATAATCTGTAAGAATTTACGTTTTATCCCCGAGCCTTTTAAAGACCAAGAGCCGCAACATCCAACTGTGGAAGTTCCACAGCAGACAGAGAGCACTACTGCAGCTCTGGACGGTGCAAAGACATGCCCTAATAAGGCAAAAGGCGTTAATAAACGCCCCAGGGAAGGTGCAAGCCCAGATGCGAGTCCACAACGGGTGACTCAAGGCGGGAAGAGAATTAAGCGGAAGGACGCTTCACAGCTTGGTTCTGAGTCGCTAATTGGAACTAAAGAAGCGCCCTCAAATAGTCCTAGCAAGTCGTATGCTGCGACAGTCTTGAAAGACGGAGCGGACAATGGGGACGGCTTCAAAGTTGTTAGAAGCAAGAAGAAACGGGCTCCAAAAAAGAAGCTATCAGGCGATAAAAAAGAGTTTCCGAAGCCCCCTTTGAAGCTAAGGAGCACGGAAGCTGTTAAAATCACGGCAGGAGACCCAAAGTTGTATGAGGGTATCTTGCCGCTGATAAAAGCAAAGGTAAAACCTGAAGATACGGGTACCGTGATCCGGAAGATCAGGAGAACTTTTAGACAGGAAGTTCTCGTGATAGTGAAAAAGGGCGGAGAGACCTTAAAATTTGCAGATGCACTGTCTTCGGCCCTGTATGGCAAGGCCGAAGTCACGCCTCCAGTGAATAGAAGGTCTCTAGAGATTAAGGATTTGGATGAAGCCACCACAGAGGATGAGGTGACTTCAGCACTAAGAGAAAAGCTGGGTAAACCCGACCTGACGATGGAGTGTCGACTTTTGCCTCGCTACAGAGGAACTAAGGTTGCTCTAATCCGCTTGGCAGAAGCAGAAAGTGACATTTTGCTTAAACTTGTCAGAATCAAAATCGGTTGGATAAATGCTCCAATTCGCGAGCATGTTAAAGTAGCTAGGTGCCAAAAGTGCTTAGCCCACGGACACTCTACTCGAACCTGCAAAGGCCCCGACAGAAGCAAAAACTGTCGGAGATGCGGCGGAGAGGGACACCTCGCAAAGAGCTGTAAAGTTAAGCCGACGTGCCTTACTTGCTTGGACCTGGGGAAGCCAGAAACGGATCATGAGTCCGGAAAGAGAGCCTGCCCGGTTTACAGGGAAGAACTGCAAAAGATTAAAAAGGCAAATCCTTAAAATTTTTGCAGGTCAACCTGCATACAAGTAAGGATGCACAGTTGCTCCTAATGCAAACAGCAAGGGAAAATGAGGTCGATATCCTGTTCTACAGTGAGCAGTATCAAGGAAGCGACCTCGCCTCTTGGTATCAGGATCAGGCGAAGAGAGCCGCCATAAAGCTGTGCAACCCAGAAATGCGGGTTGACAAGTTTCTGGAGACGAGCAGCGGGTTCGTGTGGATAGAGGTAGCTAATATACGTATGTATAGTTGCTATTTCTCACCCAACGATCCACTGACAAACTTCGAAGCCAATATCGAAGACCTAGAAGCGAGCCTCACAGAATCCAGGCTGGATGTCATCATCACTGGCGATTTTAACGCAAAGTCGCCAGAGTGGGGTGAGACGAGACTCGACAAGAGAGGAATTCGTATTGGAGAAATGATCTCCAGAAACGACTTATTGGCTGTAAACCGAGGCAATACATGGACTTTTAGACGAGGTGCGATCGGATCAATTATAGATCTAACAATCGCATCGTCTAAACTATTTAGCTGCATAAGCGACTGGCGGGTCTCTGAGGAATATACCGCAAGTGACCACCAGGGGCCCGATTCTCGAAAGCGTATGATAATTCTCGAACGCGTAAATTGTCGAACGGTTATTATCGCATGCGAGACTGAAACTTTATTCTCGACAACCCTTCGATATAGGCTACGTGATAATTTCGGTGCACGATATTTCAACAGTGTTGCCGTTGTTTTCAAGTAAATATCATCCAATAAGAATTGCTTTAGAGGGGAAATGTAAATAGTAAACAACTATAAAGAATAATTGGGGAGAGAAGGAAGAAAAATAATATCAATAATAATAATATTAATTAATTGTTATAAAAAATGTCATCAAAGAAAGTAAGATGTGCATATACTAATGAGGAACAGAAAAAATTACTTATAGGTAAGTATTATTTTATTTAAAGTATATAAAGTAAAATAAAAACTAATTAATTAAAGAGTTCTGTTGTGTTAGAAAAAATATTTGGTGTGGAAGAAATCTCAAATTATTATTATCCATTATTAGTACAGATTTTTAATTTATTTAATGAAATGTTAATTTATTTTCCTTTATAAAGTATGCGTTCACGTAACCTCAAACTAAAAAATCTTTTTTTATTTTGTTTTTTAGTCATAGGTATTGAATATGTTTATACAATAAAAGTTTCATTTTTAAATAATAATGTACCAGACAAAATTAATATAAACTACTACCAAAGTTTTTTAAAAAGAGGTTTTTTTTTTAATGAAATGTTAATTTATTTTCCTTTATAAAGTATGCGTTCACGTAACCTCAAACTAAAAAGTCTTTTTCAATTGAAATGAAACTATTAAAAATACTATGTACATGTAATCATGTTATAAAATATTTTCTATTCTTTAAAAATATCTAGAGTTTGTGGGCAGAAATCCTGATTTGCAGAGCGGAAAGTTTTCCAACACTTTTACTACGAAAGATGCTCAAAAATTTTGGGAAGAAATAGCAACAGAATTAAATAAAGTTCCGGGCGCAGAGAAAGAATGGAAACAATGGAGAAAGGTATTTGCACTTTTAATTAACAAATTTTTTCATAATATATTACACTATATATAATATTACACTATAATATATTACACTATTAGGCGTGGCAAGATATGCGATATGCAGCCAAGGCAAAAAATAGTGCAATAAAAAAGTCCGCTAAACAAACAGGAGGTGGACCACCTACAAGTCAAATATTGACTGATACTGATCAAAATGTTTTATCATTAATATGCTCGACAGTATTAGATGGGCACGCAAATGTGCATGAACCAGATGCTGTATTTGTATGTGAACATTATTTTATTGAACTGAAAATATTAGAGTAGGATAAAAGTATTAATGTTTGATACTTTTGTTTTCGCAGATGTGGAACGATGATCCCTCACAAGAATTGGAATATTTGGAGGAGGAAAAAGAAAGCGTCATAGCAACTCTAAGACCGGAATTGCTCGAAGAACCAATTCCATCAACGTCTTTTAATGCCAAAGAAAATATACAAACTGTAGGACTACCATGCACTTCTAACTCCCTTTCTCAGACTGCAAATAAAAAAACTTTAAAACAAACGTCTGCTGCTAAGAGGTACGACACATCAATTAAACAAACAGAAAAGTTAGTTGATGTTACTCGAGACGATTGTGAATCGAGAAAACTTTATTACATTGAAAAAATTAACTTTTATAAGCAAAAACTTGTGCTTAAAGAAAGAATTGTAGTTGCAAAAGAAAAAAACGTAGTTGCCAAAGAAAGGCTGTGTTCAGCATTAGAAGGAATTTTAAAGAAATATGAATCTCAATAACTTTTATTTTTGTTACTTATCAATATATTTTAATAATGTTAGTATATATTATATAACTATATAAATATATTTTATACAGATTTAATTAATTATATCATTAAATTTTAAGAAAAAATGAGATTTAAGATTTACCAAAGAGTACAATTTGTTAAATGAGTATAGTTTAGTTAAATAATATCTTTAACCAAAACTATTACACACATTCCAAATTATATTAAAATAATTGAATATTCTGAACTCTATGAAAATAGAATTATGCTTTCGCATACTTTCAGTATGTGTTTATGTTAAGTACAACACAAGTTTTTTTAATGCACTTTAAACCATAGTTTTTACTTGAAAAAATAGAAAAATTTCAACAATTATTTCTCTCTGTGTAAAAAAATGCTTATATAAAATACTCATTACATTAGGATTAAATATTTTACTTTGTTTCTTCTTAACTTTAATCATTAATAATACACGGAGAAAAATAGTTTTTGAAATTTTTGGAACTGATTTACAAATGTGATATACATACAAATTAAGAAAACTTGTTGATTAATAAAAAAGTTTTTGATGAAATAAATAAATGTACAGTATTTCAAAATAGTGTGAACAAAATATGTTTAAGTACAATCATACCAAGATATCTTGTACATCAAAAGTTATTTTAACAACTATTAAATCAAAAACTATTTTTCTCCGTGATATTTATTAAGTATTTAGAACTAAAAGTCTGAATAATTTTAAAATTATTTGTTTTTTAGTCATAGGTATTGAATATGTTTATACAATAAAAGTTTAATTTTTAAATAATGTACCAGGCAAAATTAAAATAAACTACTACCAAAGTTTTTTAAAAAGATGTTTTTATTTAAAAAATATATCATTTGCTATGAAAAAAATCTTCTAATTAAAATGTTTCGCGCTCTTCGTCCAGCCGTTAAATCCACGTTTCTGTTTGCAACATCAATTGCGTCTCTTTCACCATTCCTTTCATTTTCATCATACATGCCAAAGTCTATATCAATTGGATCATTATTATTTACAGGCAGGGGTACATTATTATCAATACATATTGTGTAATACTGTACACGCATTGATGATTTTTGAACATTTTTCAGGCTTATAATGCAAAACTCTATGCTTCATCAGGCATCGAAATCTCATTTTTAAAACACCATTGCATCGCTCCATAAGTACTCTAGTACTCTTTTGTCGGTCATTATAATTTATCATAGGTAGGTTTTGTTGCATTCCAAGTACAGGAGTCATCATCCAAGGTCTTTGCGCATAACCAGAGTCACCTACGTAAACATAAATGATATAATTCATTATAACCTTATTAACGTTTAATTTTTAAACTATTTTTAATGTTGTCAGTAGACAAAAATTTATAGTAAGAGTACAATACCTAACAAAAAATATGAATGTCCTCGGTTGTGAATTTCTTGCATAATAGGCAAGATGTTACTATTATTCCAAATATAAGAATCATCAGTACTTCCAGGATATCTTGCGTTTACATTCATAATTCTTAAATCTGGATCACATATCTAAAAATAACAGTATATATCATAAAAATTTCAGAATTGCGTTCTACATTATTCTAACATTTTTAATATTACATTCTTACCAATTGTACATTAATGGAATGATATTGTTTCCTGTTGACGTATATGTGCTCAGGATAAACATTATCTTGAATCAATGGCGGATAAATGGCTACATGCGTACAATCTATGCATCCAATTGCCCCAGGAAAACGATGCGTTTCCCAGAATCTATTAAATAAATTTTAATAGTTTGTTAAAATCAAACTTGCTAAAATAATGGTCATACTCTAATAAATTATACTCTATTAACTTACTTATTACGAATTTCTTGCAATTCGTTTAAAGTACTTGGAAAATGTACCCAATTGTTAAAAACTTCGGGTAGATTTAAAATATTACTAACATTAGTAATACATCTGCTGACGGATGATTGACTTATAGCCATATTGACATTATTGGCTATACAATTCTGATAGCTCCCAGCTCCATAAAAACGCAATGCTGTTAAAACCTATAAACAAATAATTTTTCTGTTAAGCATTTCAATTATATTAAGAAACAAAAGATTGTTTTTAAAAATTGTAATTTTTAATTACTTGTGTACAAGGATCTAATGCAGATGCCCTTAAGCCTCCTCTTGAATTTGTTTCCACAGTGTCTATGACTGTATCTACTAATTCTTTTTTTAATCTAAACTGTTTTATAAACTTTCGATCTGTTAATTCAAAAGCATCTTGTCTCTCGTGAAATTGCCTTTCATTAAAGTCAACCACATTTTCTAGCTGATCAGCGATATGTAATTGAATAGCATTTCGCAATGCCATATCCATTATTGAAAATCTGAAAAAAAGATTTCTTTTAATTTCTCTAACCATGTAGTTATTTTAATATTAACTTCATTTGCGAAACCATAAATCGAATGCTTTTATTTAATAAAGACAATGATTGAGTAATAATGATTTTCAAAACAGTTCTTATAACCTAACATTTAAACCTTTAAAAAGGTTCATATTTTAGGTTATATATATAAAATAAAGTTTTAAATCATTTTCTTTTTGGTCTCTAATAAATCGTAATATTGTTTACAAATTAAATCCATTTTATTAACTAAAAAACAAAGGACTTTAAAACATGCCAATTATTATTGCAAAAGTATAAAAATATCAATTAACAATTCACTTATTCCAAAGTTATACTACTTCATTAACGTTAACGTAAATATTAATTTAATTTTACAATTATATATACAATAATTATAATTGTATTATATTTATTATAATTATACATACCTTTAAAGCACTTTTAATAAAGTATCATTAAAAAATGTTGAAACACATGTACCTACAATATTATTATTTCGAAGGCGACTTTACATTTCGAATGCCAAAATCCACACGAGATGAAACATTCGACAATTCTCGCATACGATATGAAATCTCGCATGCGACAATCGTTCAAGAATAGCTTTCTCCATCTCGCATGGTATGTCGCATGCGACATCTAGGGTCATCGATTCGAGAATACGGCCCACCAGTACCTTGAGTTCTCACTCTCGATGGGAGACACACGAGAAGGAAAAAGACAGGATGTTCCTAGTCGCAAAACCTCCTCGTGGAATATAAAGAGACTCGACAAGGAAAAGTTTGGCCGGTCCCTAAAGGCGCTAGCACAGCTCCTACTGCCTGCCTGCCTGCCTGCAGGTTGACATGGTAACACATAGGAGTAAGAGAGTAAGAAAATTCAAATTAAATGTTTTTTCTCTCTCACTCTTATGGCGCCTGCCTGTGCAGGCAGGCAGGCAGTGAGGTGAGAGTGTACCTTAAGAGAAGCCCTTTTAATTGAGGACTTGGGCTGAGTGAAGAGGCCGAGCAGTCTGGATAGGGAGGTGCGAGCGGTGAGGAACATGATAGTCACCGCTTGCAATGCGTCAATGCCACGCAAAGGCGCTATTCCCGTAAGAAAATCCTTGCACTGGTGGTCAGAGGAGCTAGCCTCCTTGAGGAAGGCATGCCTCAAACAAAGAAGGACATATACCCGATCTAAGGGAGATCCCTTGCTAAAAGAGGCTTTCAAGGAGGCAAAAAAGAACCTTAAGAAAGAGATCCGCAAGTCGCGACGCCGTAGCTGGAAGGACCCAATCGAGGAAGTCGATAAGGACCCATGGGGTCTGGCTTTTAAACTCGTTACTAAGAAATTAGTGACGAGGCAAGAGACTCCCGGCCTGGACAATCCCGATTGGGTCAGAAAGATAATAAATTCTTTGTTTCCTCCTGCAGAGCCATACCTTAGAAGGGACTGGAGTTTCTGCAAAGTCGAAGAGGAAGAACTCTTCACACTTAGTGAACTGCAAAAAGCAGGCAAAAGATTGAAAACAGGCAAGGCGCCTGGAATCGATGGGATAAGTAACGAGATCCTAAAGTTGGTAATCGACACTTTACCCCAGATTCTGCTTCGATGCTTCAATCTTTGCCTTGAGAGAGGAGAGTTCTTCCGCGACTGGAAGCGACAGAGGTTAGTCCTCCTAAAGAAAGGTGAAAAACCTCTACATAAAGTCTTCTCATACAGGCCTATATGCCTGCTAGATACGATGGGTAAACTTCTAGAGAATATGGTTCTGCAGAGAATGCAAAGCCACTTGGCCGAAGAGAATCGTCTATGAGATCACCAATTTGGTTTCCGTAAAGGCAAATCCACAGTTGATGCCATCCAGGCAGTTGTGGACAAAGCCAAGGCAGGAAAAAACAAATTGGGACCTGGGAAAAAGAAGAGCTTCTGCGCGTTGGTAGCAATTGACATACGCAACGCGTTTAATTCCGCAAGATGAAAAGATCTCATCGAGTCGATGGAAAAGAAAAACATGCCGCCCTACTTGGCCCTACTTGGTGTGGAGTTGGATGGAAGGTTAAACTTCCACCACCACATGGCTACGGCGTCAAATAAGGCGATCGAGTGTGCGGCTAATCTTTCACGGTTAATGCCAAATGTAGGCGGACCCCGTGAACAAAAAAGAAGACTGGTGGCGAGTGTCGCCCATGCTAAAATGCTCTACGCAGCACCAGCGTGGGCCCCATCCCTGAGGAGTAAAAGATGTGTTACCATCTGTGAAAAGATACTGTCGGCGCAGAGATCGATAACAACGCGTATCATCTCTGCATATAAGACGGTATCTACGAGTGCTGTGCAGGTCCTTGCAAGTGTCCCGCTAGCAGATCTTTTGGCGAGGGAAAGGGAAGAAATGTTTCTCTTTTTTAAAGAAAGCAGTTCCTTAGATGAGGAAACAAGACCAAGCAAGGGCCTGATCCGCAAAGAAGCGAGGCACAGGCTCATAGAAAGATGGCAAGAAAGATGGGATGGTGAGGAAAAAGGTCGATGGACTTATCGCCTTATCCCGGCACTCGCCACCTGGATAAATAGGAAACACGGTCAGGTTTCCTATTATATGACTCAGGCGCTCACAGGTCACGGGTGTTTTAACTCGTACCTGTGTCGCTTTAAATTACGCGAGGACGAGGTGTGTGCATATTGCCAGTTCCCTGAGGACAACGCGGAGCACACCCTCTTCTCATACAGAAAATGCGACTTGGAGAGGCGGGCCATGTTCGAAGGTGTAAACAGTCAAGTTACACCGGAGAACATGGTATCGCTGATGACCCAGTCAGAAGACAATTGGCGGCAAGTCGAGAACTTCATAATCTCGGTTATGTCGAGGAAGGATCTCGACGGCCGCCAAAAAGCGTAATTTAAACAGCTTTTAATTTGTTTTGTTTGTTTTTTATTAATTTATTTTGTGATTTATTTGTCCTTATAAATTATTTTAATTGTTTTGTGTTTTTTTATTCATCTTTGTACAGTTTTGTCTTTTCAACATTATATACGTGTTTACTTTTTTTTTCTTTTCTTTTTTATATCCGTTTGCGATTTTATCTTTTGACTTTTTATACTTCTTAAAAAAATTTTGTTTTTTTTTATTATTGTCGTGCTGTAAATTCCGCTTAGACTATGAAATAGTTTTAATCATCTTTTTAACTACGGACGCAGGAAAACCGCAGTGAGAAGAAGAAGGTCGCATTAGCGACAGAGTTGGAGCGCCACCCTCGAAGGCTTAAGTCTTACGACAGTTCCGAGGGAGGGTAAAGGGCTCCAGAAGAAGGGTTACGGGTTTTAGTGGGTCGGGCTGGTAGTAGGTCGCCAGTGTATTAAATTTAATTTTTTATAGATTTCATTTTCTTTTTTTTATTTCCTTCTGTTTTATTATACCAACCCCACATAACCTTGGAGCGCGGAATCCAAGGTATCTGTAGGCAGATTTTCCAAAAATTCCCTAAGCAAGAAAAAAAAAATAATAATAATAATAATTCCGTGCCCGGTTGGAACTTTTGTTCTACCTGGGTCGCATTTTTGCGCGGGGTTGCTGGTCCTCTATCGGACGCGTGCCAGGTGGCGGATAGGTTAGCTTCCTAGAAATAGGTGGTATCGAGGAAATCAAATACTCGACGCGGACCAAAACCAGCAAACAAGAAACATCCATCATGAGCGATTGTAAAAACGAGGAAGAGTACCTGCGGGGTAATGCTACGGCTAAATCCCTCACTGGTTCCGATCGTCAAGCGCTTTCGAGCGTGAGGGCGGTGGCCAGCGGCCCAAGGATGCAGGAGGGCAACAACGCGTTGGTAGTGCCACAGATCATCGTGGACAGGTCGGAGAGACGAGGGAGTACGAGCAGCGTGACGAGTCAAGCCAGCTGCATTTCTGTCTTCAGTAATGCCTCGGCAAAGGACATTGCAAGCTGCAACCAAGATCGAGATGAATGCGTTAAGCTGCGGGAGGAAGAGGCAGCGAGCATTCTAGAAATGGAGGAGGAGGTCAGCAAGATGCTGAAGTCCTGTGAAGTCCAGAAGATTGTCAATAGGACAATGAAGGATGGACTCAGAAGCTTAACATCGCTCATAAGGGACGTAAAGGAGAAGCACGCAGCAGCTGCGAAAAAGGACGAGAGTTTCTACCAGGGTTTGACCTGGTCTCAAGAAGCTAGACAAGATCGCAGAGCTAGAAGAGATCGTTGTAACGCAATCGTGTTGAGAAACGTCGTCTTAGATGCTCAGAAGCGGAAGAGAAGTGATCCTGAGCCTGCGAAGGATCCAAAAAGGAAAAAGGAGGAGAAACCAAAAAAGACTGGAGGCAAGGGGAACAAAACGGTTCCAAAGCCAGACCAGGTCAAGAAGGGAAGAGCCACAGTGATCGTTAAAGTGGCCGAAGGAAAAACTTTCGCTGAAGTGCTGGCAAAGGTTCGAAGGGAGGCTGACCTGGAGGCCAGCCAGACAAGGGTTGTGGGAGCTTTACCCACTAAAAAGGGAGACCTTCTCATTAAAATTGGAGGGTCTTCAAACAAGAAGCTGTTCACCGAGGAGGTGACAAAGGTAATCGGCGATTTGGGTAAGGTGCAGATTGCGGTCCGGCAAACTACGTTGGAAATCCGCGATATGGACGCTCTTACTGAAAAGGAAGATGTTTTGAATGCCCTGGAGCAAATCTCTACGGTGCCAGCAGGGAGCAGAAGGGTGGCGGTCCTTGGCCCAAACAAGCGAGGAGTAAAGCTCGCTGTCGTTGTCACCAGCCAAGAGGATGCAGATAAGCTGGAGAAAATAGGACACATTAAAATTGGGTTCGTGTCCTGCCAGGTCAGAAGAAGAACTACGGTCACAAGGTGCCATAGGTGCCTTGACTATGGCCATAAAGGCAGAGATTGTCAAGCAGTAGATAGGTCGGCTGCGTGCTTCAAGTGCGGAGAAGCTGGCCATAAGGCAGCAGATTGTAAGAAGAGCCCATGCTGCTTCTTATGC